GTTCTGTGAAACATTTGTGTGTAATGCCTTAATTAGGTACAGATCATCAGCTCACCAAAGTTGGAGACATCCAGCTGTCTCACTGGAGATGAAGGCTTGGCATGCTGGACTCTAAACTCCAGGCTGATTCAGATCTGCGCTGGAGGTCATTATGCAGAGGGTTGTACAAACTCATACTGGGACAGCTTGGCCCTTTTTCACAAAACAGCGTTGTCAGAACCCATGGCCCACAAAATCTCAAAAATCAAGAATGCACCTGAGTGTCCTTCCTGACTGAGGATATCCCATCTCTGACAGAAAACTAAACAGAGAAACAAAGACTGTGGAGTTTCTTTTTATTTTTTTTTTCCAAGACACATCCAAGAGACATCGCAATCCAGGAACGCCAACCTGCCATTTTTTACATCCTCTCGTGTGAACTTAATATATTCATCCACAGAGTTGATGTGATCAGTGAAATGTTGGACTTCCTGGGCTTTAATTTTAGCCCAGGTGTCGTCAACATATCTGAACCAATGTCTCTGTGGCACCCCTGAAAAGGACATCAAGGCTCTCTTTTCCACTTCCTCCATGTACAGGTTTGCAATAGATAGATGCCCTATAGATTCAAAAGTTTGTTTGTAAAAACTGAAGCTAAGGTGAACTGGTAAAAATGTTTCTTCCAAGTTGGTGAAGGTCAAAAACACAAACATTGGCATCTTTAAAAATAAGTGTGTATAGGACCCAATCATAATTTCAAACTGAAAGTTAATGTTACATTGTATCATCTGGAAAAGCTACACTCAACTGTGTTTTAAAGCTCTTTTAGACATGGAAACAAAAGGAGTTTCAGTTCTAATTCATAATTCAGTAAAATTTGATTGTAGCCATGAACTGTCAGATAAAGGAAGGTATGTGTTAGTTGTTTTTTTTAGCCAGCTGTTAGTGAAGAGGACACTTGTAAAGGTCTATTCCTTAATAACCTTCTTAATACAATAATTATGGAAACTGAGGGATTGTTGATTTGGGGAGGAGATTTCAATATGACAATGAATACAAAACAAACACTAAAAACACCAAAACTTAAGCACTAAAAAATTTTTAAAATAGCACTTGAAGAATTCAGAATGGTAGATGTCTGGAGAGAAATCTACCCCAAAGTGAACTATAGTCATTACTCAGCGCCCAACAAAAGTTATTCTAGAACTGACTACTTTGTCATGAATAAATCTGACATATTTAAGACAAAGGAACGCAAAWTAGAAGAAACAAATATATCCGATCACTCTACCCTAATATTAAAACTAATCTAACTTCTAGAAAATACAACAATATGGCGATTAACCGTAGGCATGTTAAATTATAAAATGATCAAAGCTGAAACCACCCATGATATAAAGACTTACATAGAAGAAAATGATAGCAGTAATTATAATTATTAAGAGGAAAACTGATTTTAAAAATTGTGGCTTTTAAAAAATCCAAAATGGAAGCATATGAAAACGAGAGAGCACAACTAATAAAACATATAAAAAATGAACTGAAAACCCAAACATGTTTCAAAAAATAAAGGAACTAAGAAGTAACACTGATAGCATTTTAACAGATAAAATTTAAAAGGAATCAAAATTTACTATACAATCTTAAGGGCTCGACACACYGGAGGCGACGTCGCTCGCTCTCCATTCATTTCCTATGGAGCCTGTGCGGTGAGGCGACAATCGCTTGCCCTCCTCCAGCTAAGCGACCGGCGAAAATAGTGCATGTGAAATTTCGCGCTCCTACACGTAGACGTGCACATGCGAGCTTGCGACGCGACATATGAAAGTTGAAAAAATGTTCAACTTTTGTCGCTGTTGCTTAGCGTACAACCAATCAGCGAGGGTTTCATTGAGTGACGAACAGAGAGTATGCTACACACTGCAGTTAGCTAACACTTTCACCAAGGCATTACTAAAAAGCTTTGTGGGAATTTATTGGCACCAGGGTGAAGTTTATGGTAAGTCTTTCCTCATAAACTGTATCTTGATGTGTGTTTGTTTTTCAATATCATTAGCATCGCAAGATTTGTTTAGTTTACACGTCCGTAATGCACACCCGCCTTCAGAGTCAAGAACCAATCAAATTTCATGAAGACAAGCGACCTGAGAGCGCGATTCGCAATGCTGCGATCACTATTGCGTCCCGTGTGTCGGGTTTCACCCTGGCTGCGATGACAGCCGTTAATCGCTGTAGTTTGTCGCTGCCCGTGTGTCGAGCCCTTTACCATGAAGTGGAACGTAAAGCAACAAAACTGTTAACTAAAAAGATTAAAAAAACAACCAGCTGACAGAAACATTTATAAATTAAAGGATGATGAGAGAAACCAGATGATATATGATCCAGTAATATTATGTTTAGGACATATTATGAGTGATTGTACAATCAACCTCCTTCTGCTGACGGTGAACACAGAATATTTCTGTGAGACATTAGATCTGCCCTCAATTGGAGAAATCCGAAAAACATCTTACATTTCACATAAGAACAGAAATACAAAAGGCAATCAAGAGATTAAAAAACACACACCAGGAAGTGATGGACTAACATCTGACTGGTCCAACTCTTTCAGTGAAGACCTCATCTTTATTAGAAAGATCATTTCGTTATACATTGGAACATGCAGTGCTTCCATTGTCTTGGAGAGAAACGATTATAACAATTATTCCAAAAAAGGAAAAGAGCTCAGATCATAGACCTGTATCTGTTCTAAATATGGACCATAAACAATTCACTGGTAAAATTATAGATGAAGACCAGACAGGATTTATTAAAGGTCGCCAAACCCAAGATAACACCAGGAGAGTACTTCACATTATAGATCATATTCAAACAATAAAACTGAAGCTATTGTAGTTAGTCTCGATGCAGAGAGCTTTGATTGTGTACGCTGATTTTTTTTTGTATAAAACACTTAAAATATTTGGTTTTAATCAGAAAACCGTATAGTGTGTGAGGACCTCGTACCAGTCACCCCTGGCCAGAATCAGGATTAATGGAAATTTAACTGATAAAGAATTAACTGGTAACATAAAACTGGAAAGCTCTGCATCTCAGGGCTGTTTTTTGTCACTTACATTATCTGCAATTTATGTTGAACCACTGGCACAATATATAAGACAAAATCAGGATCGTAAGGGTGTAGATTTAGACAATGAATCTTATATTATAGGTTTCTTTGCAGATGATGTAATGTGCTTTTGAACAGAGTCAGAAAACTCTCTTGTTTAATCATAAGAGACGTTCAACTTCTACTCAGGATATAATTAAATCTGGTAAAAACACAGATTGAAAAGTAACACGAGAAAAGAGACGTTATGATATGACATGAGCTTTTATTTGTAAAAGTAAAGGGGGGTCTTAATTCACTAGACTACACTAGAGATGATCGCCATGATACACGAGTCTCCAGGCTGCAGCAACACCCATCTTCTWTGGCAGGCCGTTTTAACATTTAATAGCTTGACTGAATATCTATTTCATATATCTCAAATACATTTCTTTCTAGTCAAAATAAACATTCCAGACATCTAAAACAATATTCTTCCTATCTCAAATGAACATTTGAGATAGAAAGAATATAATTCTTACCAGTACAAATGACATCACTTCCCCAATCATATGTATTGGGCTTTTACTTCTGGATTTCCGAAATAACATTCCTCTTATCTAAAATAAATAGTCTGGATGTCTAAAAATGAATTGTGACAAGGATGAACTCTAATTTCAGATCTGCATGATCTAGTTAAAACTAGTAAAAAAATCCTGTTTGACACAGGCAGGGAAGATTTGGCATGTTTTTTTAACGTGTTAATACCCACATCACCTGTAAATTCCTGTAAATTATAGTTTGTTTATGAATGCTAAATTTCAGTCTGTGTGTGTCTACGTGTGTGTGTGTGTGTTAAATTTCTCTTAAGGCCCTGTCACACTAAAACATTTTAGACAACATATGAAAACTTTAAAGACATCTACGTTGAAGATGGAATTCAAAGTATCTACTGCACTGCAAAAAAGTCCACCTAACCAAGTTTTAAATCTTATATCAGCCAAAACGATTTTTGATCTTGTTTTGAGACAGATTTACTAAACAAGAACTGATTGTGTAAGAATAATCATCTTGTTTTCAGAATGTGTAAGATTATTTGTCTTGTTAGCCTGAAAATTTGACTCAAATCAAAAATTTCTGCCAGTGGAGTAAGAAAATTTTACATGGTAAGATTCTTAAAATACTTGATTTGACTCATTTTTTTCTTATTTCAAGAATCTTAACAAGTAAAAATTTCTTACTCCATTTGCAGAAATATTTGACAATTTGCGTCAAAATTTCAGACTAACAAGACAAATAATCTTACACATTCTGAAAACAAGATMATTATTCTTACACAATCAGTTCTTGTTTAGTAAATCAGTCTTAAAACAAGATCAAAAAGACTTTTTGGCTGATATAAGATTTTAAAACTTGGTAAGATGGACAGTTTTTGCAGTGTACATGTTGTGATGCTAAAAAACTAATCAAGTATATAACTTTTATAAGTAATTTAGACATTAAAAACATTCATAAGTTGGCATAAGTTGTCTAAAATATTATAATGTGACAGGGCCTTTAGCATATTACTTTGTATTCAACTTCCTGCGTGCCATGTGTTTACCATGTGTTATGTTTTATATGTGTTATCTCACCAAGTCAAATTCCTAATATACTTGYCAAATAAAAATATTGATTCTGTCACATTTAAAGATTTTTTTCATTGTTGCCGGAAACAATAAAGGTGGTAAATCATGTGTTTATGTTTGTATGTTTGATTGTCTGACTTAGCAAAGTATCCAGAATTGTAAAAATAATCGGATAAAATTCTCAGAAAGTTCTTGTTGTAAGTAGTAAACTTTGAAGTCAGTCCTATTCAAGATCACTACCGCATTTATTTGACCATTGTAAGCAGTAACATAATTCTAAATCATATTAGTTGAAAGTCATCCTCAGCACATCTAACCTGTGTTAAATGATCCTGCAACATGTTTGTTTGAAAGTTCGAAATGCAAAATACTGCAGGCAAAAAGCTTTTCTTCAAGGAATGCCAGGTCTTTATCAAGCACTGAAGTTCTGTGAAATTCTGTCACCACAGGATARAATACTAATACACTCAGTGAACTTTAATGCTGGCTTTAGAGCTGCAAGCAGGGTTTCCTCAGATCTTTTTACAAATTTTAAAACCTGTCAGTAAAGATGTTTCCTTGGTAGGAAACACCTTTACAACCACTAAGATTAAAGGCTCGGTGTTAGAGCCTTGGCTGCAAACAAACGCTGTAAATTTTATGCTTGAGGACAAGAAAAATCCCCAAATTTGCCTCATCGTGTCAGTCAGGTAATTATATGTCATCTGATACGACTGTAAGGATGAATCAGTTTCTGATCATTTCTCCTTTACTTATACAAAATGCTTTAAACAGACCAACATTTTAAATAWGATCTCTGTCATCTTCTAATGATTTAAAGGCCTATCGTTCCTTGAAGGAATGCATGTTTTTTAACAACCTTTCATGCCAAAGTTTAAATGATGGTGTAAAAGCCATCTGTGAAAAGCTTGGAAACAACATAATGAGCAACCTCAGGTTATATTTTACATAATCTGTTGGTGCTAGGTGTATGTGCTAAGCAAACTAGCTACTACAACACCAAAATGTAACAAAATATCTGTAAAACTTAGTTATAGTCATATTTTACTGCTAATGTCAGTTAGCTGTGGTGGCCATTTTGAATTGAATTGACTTGAAAAGTAAATGAGTTGTAGATGTACATGCAATGAGTAAATGGTAAATGGATTGTACTTATATAGTGCCTTTCTATCCAACCAGGATACTCAAAGCTCTTTACAATCTGTGTCCTCTTTTACCCATTTATACATTCATCCAGCTCTATTAGATCTCTCTGTAAAGATAATCAACAAAAACTAATCAGTGCTTTATTAAATCACACTCATACACTGATGGACACACATCAGAGGCAGTGCGTTCAGTGTCCTGCCCAGATACWCTTTGACATGTGTTAGAATATTGGTGGAATCAAACCACCAACTCTCGCATCACAGGCATGACAACCATCTTGAACTGTTTCCTCCAAAAACCAATCAACTGTAAACATATATTCAGTTTGGCTTCTGAAAGTTTCATGAAAATCAATCCATGATATTTTGCTAATAAAGTTGACACCAAATACTTAACGCAACAATTTCAGACAAACAGTTTGTGCAATCTGTTAACCCTAAGATTATATGATAATTACCGACCGTAACAAAGTTTAAGTCAGTTTCTGCAGAACTGACCGAGCCTTTTTATTGCCTTTTTAAAACTTCAATTGGCAGCCATCTTCAGTTAGGTTGAGTTAAAATGTTTCTCAGCTGAAGATATAATCTCCCCCCCAATTAAACAAATAGAAGCAGTGAAATMCTGCAGCGTACAAGATTAAAATCCTAAGTGTGTTGAAGTGTTTTAATTACACAATGGCCAACATTCAGTGAAATCCTATTGCATCCAACAGAGGCTTTTATTTTGGCAAACAAAATGCAGTCACATTAGTGACAACTTCAAGAAAAGTGTACACATAAACCAAAGAGTGAAGCGTTCAACATTTACCTTTTCAAACATGAGCTCTGGAAGGCCATGTTTGTCTCTCGCTGTAAGATGGATCAGTCTCAGGGAAAAAGAGCTCAGCACTGAGTCACAGACGTGATGTTCCCCTCCTTGGAGTCTGTCTTACCTGCTCATGATGAGAACTGAGCACAGGATGTTCAAGCATTTTCAAAGGACACAAATACTTGTTCAAGTGGAATCCCATTGGCCAGGCCGTCCTCAGTAGGTGGTGGCTACATTTTATTACATACAGTTAAACGGATACAGAAGCCTACAGGTTTTTACAGGAACAGCTGCTTCTTATTTTACTCTTTCCTAATGACATGTGTTGACTGTGTGTAATTCTGCTAATGTACATTGCTCTTATAGGAAAGTACAACCCAGTAAGTGATGAAAAGTAGATTTTATAATCCTGTGAACCTATCTTTGTGTAGATGCAGTCGACACACTGACATGAGGAAAGCCTTGTTATTAACATGAATTATACAAGACACCCCTTTTGTGTCTCTTTCAGTTTCTGGGACTGATTCTACGATAGTTGATCTGCTCTTTAGAAGATGTGAGATCCCAACATTGGCTGGATTCTGAAAGGAATTAAAGGGCTAGCATTTATTGAAATACCGTAATAGATTTAATCTGCCAGCTTTCATGCCAGAGTCTTAAACTAAGATGAGAAGAGGATGGCATTATAGTCATTATGTAAATTAATCTTAAGGTTGGTTTATACTTCAAGTCGCACGTCAAGTTCTAGACCTTTGTGTGTTTGATCAGGTCACTTAGTCAGAAAATGAATAATCAGGTTCCTTAATGCTGTGAATTAAACTCGTACAGACGTGCTGACATGTCTCACTGGTTAATGTTCCTGTGCTCAGAGGTTATGTTGAGGGTTCTCTTTGATACACAGCTGTTTTTAAATAATAGGACCACTTAGTGAGCGGGTCCGTTTTATTCTGGAGATTATGCCACTCTTCTGTGTTGAGACATAAATATAATACCTCTCCATAGAGGAAAGAAGAAAACAATCAGAAGAATCCATGACAACAAAGTCAACTGACACCAGCAACCATGAACATCACTTTGGACAGTGTTGTATAAAGTACCACAAAGTGTTCACAGATGATTTACTGTTGACCATAACAAATCCAGCTGAAACCCTACCTATACTCATGGGAGCGATCGAGGAATATGGTTCGCTTTCGGGTTACAAGATAAACATTACCAAGACTCAGGTTTTAACAATAAACTATAACCCACAAAACAATATTAGGAGCCTCTTCAATTGGAAATGGGAAGCAGAATCCATAAAATATTTAGGGGTCACATTGCCTAAGGATCTTTCCAGGATTTTTGAAGTCAACTATGGGCCCCTAATTTCAAATCTGAGATCAGACATGAAAAGATGGAGTCTGATTCCTTTTTCAAATTTACACTCAAAAATTGAGTCGGTCAGAAAGAACATTCTCCCACGCTTCCTATATCTGTTTCAGTGTCTACCTATTTCGATCCCAGATAGGCGCTTCGTAGAGTGTGAAAGAATAATATCGCAATATATCTGGCAGGGGGAAAAGGCAAGAGTGAGATAGAGTACGCTGCAGTTAAAGAAAGAGAAAGGTGGACTAGGGCTTCCTAATCTACAGGTCTACTACCTTGCAACTCAATTAAGACCAGTGTTCTGTCTTTGCTCTACATCTTACAGTGCTAAATGGAAAGATTTGGAAAAAGCAACAGTGGAAGGAATACCTTTAATATCAGTACTAATGGACAAGGACTTACAAGGGGGACTGATTATACCACAAGGGTCATTATTACACGTCATGCTGGATTCTTGGAATAAGGTCGTTAAAATGTGTAAATTGGATACCCAGATAAGAATGTTCAGATGGTGTGCCTTTGACTCAGCTTTTAAACCAAACAAGACTGATGGAAGATTTAGAGGATGGACCCCAAAAGGATTAACCACTTACTATACATTTACTCGGAAGGGTGTGTTTCAGAGTTTTGAGAAACTTCAGAGGTCCAAAGGGTTGGAGAAGAACGACTTCTTTAGATATCTGCAGGTTAGGTCCTACTTCAATCAAAATACTGTATATGCGATAATTGGGATACGGCCAAACCAGGACTTCTTAAAGTGTTTCTGTCCCAGTTGAAATCAGGTTCATGCAAAAAACTTGTTTCCATATTGTGTAATGGCATTCTATTGTCTAAACAAGGTTATACAGACTACATAAGAGACAAGTGGGTAAAAGAAGGAAATTTATTAATTACAACRGAAGTCTGGGAACAGATTAATAAATTACACTGGATGACCTCAAGCTCCAATACATGGCGGCTGTTCAGTTGGAAAAACTGTTCGATAGTTTGTAACTCCAGCTCAGAAAAAACACCAGGGCAGCAGAGACACATGTTGGAGACTCTGGAAAAAATGGAGCAAATCACCACCACATCTTCTGGGCTTGTCCGGTGATTAAGGCCTTTTGGGGGCAAATATGTTCCCACCTAAATAACATCTTTACTGAAAAGGAAAAAAATTGTATAGGTCCTCTGGACGGGTTCTTCTTTAATGAAACGTTTCGTCTCTCTTCCAAGAGACTTCTTCAGTCTGGCAAAATTCAGGTGGGTCCTAACACAAGTTAGGAGTGATCAGGACTCTGTACCACAGAGCAGACAGTGTCCCTACAAACCCAGGAGCCAGGCAGAAAGAGAAATCACACACACGACAGGCCCTGGAGCAGTGTGGTTATCCTGACTGGGCTTTCTTGAAAGCAGACAGGAAACACAGACAGGATTCCATGCAACCTTCAGGTGAAAATGAAGACCCCAAACCCAGACCCAAACCAGTGGTTCTTCAGTATGTTGCGGGTGTTTCGGAGAAACGGAGACGTTTATTTTCTAAACATGATGTCCCAGTAGCTTTCAAACCCCAAAACATATTACGGCAAAGGCTGGTTCACCCCAAAGATCCGGTGCCCCGGCACAAACAGAGCAATGTTGTATATGCTGTTAAGTGCCAGGAAGACTGCGACCAGTTATACATCGGGGAAACAAAGCAACCACTGTTCAAAAGAATGTCCCAACACAGACGAGCTAATTCTAATGGCCAGAACTCTGCAGTTTTCACTCATTTACAGGCCAGCGGTCACTCTTTCAGAGATGAGGATGTTCTCATTCTTGATAGAGAGGAACGTTGGTTTGAGAGAGGAGTAAAAGAAGKCATTTTTGTGAAGAAAGACCTTCCATAATTAAACAGAGGTGGGGGCCTCCGTTTTCAGCTGTCCCCCTCCTACAGCGCTGCCATTGGCAGTATCGCTCCACCCCCTGTTAACAATAGGTATTAATTAGGTGTGAACGATAGCCATGTGATGTGAGTATCAGTCACCTGTGAATGATAGCCATGTGATGTGAGTGTCAGTCACCTGGAGGCAGGACTCAAAAGCCTGAATTTTGCCTGAAACTCTCAGACTGAAGAAGTCTCTTGGAAGAGAGACGAAACGTTTCATTAAAGAAGAACCCGTCCAGAGGACCTATACAATTTTTTTCCTTTTGATTTTTTACCTGGATTACTGAGATGCATCAGGACATCTTTACTGAAAGAATCCCATGTAATTGTGAATCCCTATATTTAGGAAATATTTCATTTGATAACTGGACTCTGGATGACAAAAAACTCCTGTTAGTGCTTCTGGCAGCAAGCAAAAAGACAATCAKTAGAAAATGGTTAAAGCCCGAAACACCCACAGTGGAGGATTGGGTTTCCACTGTACAGGACATTTACACTCTGGAGAAGTTCTTTTTCTGTTCATGGTCAGAGAGAATCCCTTTTCAGGATCTCGTCTAAATGGACAAACTATCTAAAGTCTATTATAGTAGACTAAATATGTCCATTACATGCAAGTACTGTTTTGTTGTTTACTATACCTTAACTCAGGATTACGGGAAATGTTTGCTCTTGACAGTGTTTTACCTCCAACAAAAGAAAAATTAGATCTGACCCCATCTTACCCCCCCACTCATTCCTTTTGTTTTTTGGTTGTTATACAAAAACCTTGGATTGGCTTGTGTATCTCTTTTCTTTCTTCCAATGGGGTGGAAACTGGAATGTAAAAATGATTGTATTTTGCCTTTCCAAATAAAAATAAAAAAAAGGTACCACAAAGTGATACTTGAGTAAAAGTACAAGTATCTTACCAAAAAATTACTTTGGTAAAAGTCTCCTTTAGGAATATTACTTGAGTAAAAGTCTTAAAGTATCTGATATTTTTTGTACCTAAGTATTAAAAGTATAAGTATTGATTTAAAATGAGCAGTTATATTTTCTGTAAGGACATTTATTAGGAGGTGACCTCCTCAAACTGCAAAAATGACTGTTGTTGTTACGTTTTGTTCTTTGTTGTTTTTTAAAAGAGTACCCAAAATTAACTTAACTGGTGAGGAACACAGGACAAGACAAAAAATGATAAAAGTGAGTTTATTGTACAGTGGTTGGGTCCAGGTTTCTTGCTGAAAAAACAAAGGAAAAGGTGGTTTAGGATGATGTTCTCTGGTAAGTGTTTTGAAGGTGTTGAATGTGTTAATTGTTAGTTTTTCTTACAGGATCCAGGCGAGGAGGCTGACCAGGACGAGGAGGTTTGTAGAGGTTCTTTGTTGGGGATCAAACACAGGTAATTTCCAATATGTCTTTTGCAGATTTCTGAGAGAGAGAGGCAGGGCGGAGGACGATGAATCACTTCAGTCTTGAAGTGAAAAAAAAAACAACAGTCTGGACAAGGACCAACTGTGGAGTCACCAGGGGGATCAGGATAGTCCAGCCTGAACACAAGGTAGGTGTAGAAAAAAGAAATACAACAAGGGTTAATCAGTTTTCTCAAAGAATTAAACTGAGGCCGTCTWAAACAGWACCATGGGCAACTGAATAATCCAGCGTCYGATGGATCTCAGAAGGCYACTGAAATACTCTCAGGATTAATCAGAGCAGACAATGCACAGGTGAGTCCATCCAGTCTCCGCCCACCGAACTCTCAATGAACTGCAAAACAATTA